AGGTGTATATGGAGCTGTTATTTCATGAATAATTCCATTCTCTTCACAGAATTGTTTTAATTCATTAGAAGTGTACTCACCACCTCTATCTGATCTTAGTATTTTAATTTTCCTATCCAACTGATTCTCAACTTCTGCTTTGTATATTTTGAATTTGTTTATGACTTCATCTTTAGTCTTAATTAAGTAGAGGTAACAATATTTAGAGCAATCGTCTATAAAAGTTACAAAATATTTGTTACCCCCTCTAGTTGTTCTTCCTGAATCACAAACATCACTATGGATGAGTTCTAATATCTCAGAATCTCTATCAATAGTTTTAAATGGTTTCTTAGGAAGTTTGGCTTCTACACATATTTCACATTTTTCATCATCTTTTATATTAAGCTTTGGAATTATATTGAGATGCATCAATCTTTTAATTGAATTATAATTCACATGTCCTAATCTTTGATGCCAAGTGATGGAAGGTTCAATATTCAAAGCTATTGGAGATGCAAGAGTAGAATTCTTAACATTCAATTTAAAAAGACCATCACATAAGAAACCTTTTCCAATGAAGTTCAAACCCTTAGTTATTACAACTTTATTTGATTCAAAAACAAGCTTATAGCCTTGTTGCACTAACAAAGATCCACTAATTAAGTTTCTCCTAATGTCTGGTACATGATGGACATCCTGCAGGATCAAAGTCTTATCAGAAGTCAGCTTTAGGTTGATCCGACCTATTCCGGATACAGGAGCCACATTATTATTTCCCATTGTCACAGTTCCTCTACTTGAGACCTGATAGGTGGAAAACAAAGATTGATTAGAGCAAACGTGAATATTAGCTCCAGTGTCAATCCACCAATCATTTGCTTGAAAGGTCATGTTTACTTCAGGAGTGAAGAGAACAGACCTGAAAGCAGCCTCAGCTGGACTGGAAGTCACCATGTTTACTTGTGACTTATTAGGTGGAGGTCCTCCCTTCCTAGGCTTGGGTGGTTCAGTTTTCTTGAAAAAGCAGTCCTTAGCAAGATGGTTGGTTCTTCCACAAACGAAGCAGGCTCGACGTTCAGCTCCTTCCTTCTTTTGAAAGTGGACAGGGTTCTTATTTTGATGAAAGGATTTCTTCTTAAATGTTTTATTTTGATTTTGGTGGAAGGGACGTTTCTTGTGTTGGGGAAAGGGTTTGGATTCAACATTGTTTACTTTGGGTTCTTTGGGTTCAGATTTTGTCACATTTTTCTCCCTGAGTCTATGTTGCTCTTCAATTCTAATGGAATTCAACACTTGTTCTAGTGTAAGATCTCCTTGGGTATGGTTAAGGTTTTTGGCAAAATCTGACCAGGACTCGGGAAGTTTGTCTATAAGACATGCTATCTGAAATGTTTCATCTAGGATAGATCCATTCACTTTTAAATGGTGAACTATATGTTCGAATTCATGAATTTGCTCATTCATTGGTTTAGAATCTACCATTTTAAATTTGTTAAAATCAGAAGCTTTAAATATTTTAATTCCCATATCATCTAAACCATACTTTTTCTCTAGGGTTTCCCACAGAACTTTAGCATTAGTGATAGTATAATATATATCATATAACCTATCAGATAAAGCTCATAAGATTCTGTGTAGACAATGATACTCTATTTCTTGAGGTGTTCTTGGAATAGGAATGGAATCTGTGGAGGAAGATGAGGAAGATTGCCTAGTAACTGGTCTAGATGAGGATGGATTATCTGGTTCTATGGCTGTTATTAGATGTAGAGTAGTTAACCAAAATCTCATTTGGTTTTGCCAACAACGGAAATTGTTCCCATCAAACTTCTCTGGTTTAGCAGACATAATTTCACTTGTAGCCATAATCTGATGATGAATGAATAGTTTTGTTATTATAATGCGACAAAAATATATAAAGCATTCATTCAACAGAATTATCATGCAGTGTAACATTTTGTTTTTAAGTATTACAGACATCATTAACATAAAAAGCATAATGCTAATCATGATACTATTCTAAACAGCAAAATTAGTTTCTTGGATTGTTGGAAATATTAGCTGTTTAGATAATAACGAAAATCAGTTTAAGTAATTTAATAATTAACAGATAATCACTATTATAACACAGATATAAGAAATATATCAAATAAAAAAGAAACAGAGTTAGAAATACGGTCTGATGATCGAAGCGTGCAAAGCACTGTCCCAAGAAACTAATTGCCCCATCTCGTACAGGGCTACGCGGCAATAGATCTCGGAGATACGACGACCCTCGGTCAGGCGACATCCTTCTCGTCGGCACGAGCTTCAAGAAGGTTTTGCGAATTCTTCACCACTTTCAGGGAACCAGCAAATCGTAACAGTAAGTAAATTCAAGAGAAAGAACAGAGAAGGAGAAGAAGAGCTTGTTGTATTTTCGCTGTGTGAAACTATTCGGGTTTTGGTCCTTTTATAGGGTTAAACAGCCGTTACATAAACTCGTAGTTAATACGTTTTAATCACGTTAATAAAGCTTAGCCGTTATAAAATTAAAAAACGCTTCCGTTACATAATAAATTCACAAAATATTTATCACGTTTTTAATCACACTAATAAATTTTTACCGTTACGAAATATTTCTGTTACAAAATATTTATCACATGTTAATTGTTCAAAAATAAAAATTATATTTTAATTATTCAAAAATAAAAATATAGCAGATTAAGGGCACATTAATCCGGAGCTGCATTCGTGTCCGCAGGTCGTGGGCGCGCGCCACCCGACCCGAGCCCGAGCCCGAGCCCGAGCCCGGCCCGGCCGGTGCGCGCGTGTGTGGTATGGAGCATAGCCTTTTATTTTCTTCTGGGCATAGGAGAGAAAGGGAAGGCTTATAAAGACCCTTTTTTTCTATCCCATTTCCTATGTGGGACTAAACTTTTCCTATTTTCCTCTACAAGCCCAAGTTTTAAGTTATCTTTATTATATAACTCCAACACAATCTAACGACTCTCATATTCTCAAGGAGCCAAGACGAAGATTACAAGACAATGATCTTTGCAACGCTATGACAAAAGAGATTACTTTGTAAAAATCTCTTCAAGACAAGACGCGGAGGTCCTCCTCATGTGTCAACATCAAAACGCTGGAGTCGAACCCGCGTTACAACATAAAAAACACTGGAGTCGGACCCGCGTTACAACATCAAAAACACTGGAGTCGAACCCGCGTTACAACATAAAAAACGCTGGAGTCGGACCCGCGTTACAACATCAAAACGCTGGAGTCGGACCCGCGTTACAACATCAAAACGCTAGAGTCGGACCCGCGTTACAACATTAAAACGCTGGGGTCGGACCCGCATTTTTCAACACCCAGCGAGTACCGAACTCCGCGTCTCAATTCTAAAACGCGGAGTTAGGATCCTGAACGCCCACATGGGCGTTTGACTCGTTCAAACACGAGCTGAACGGTTGCAGGAACCGTTTTCCCTCCACGATTTGAGGGATTTCCGCCCCACTATGGAGAGAATTAAGGGGGCGGTTACACCCCTTAATTCCCTATAAATATGGGTAAACTCAACTGAGTTAAGGGCTGGGTGGGTTGATCGGAGAGACTGGCATTTTTCGGATCTGGGAATTGGCAGCAACATGAGAGATCATTGGGCGAGCTTTTGAGGGGATCGACATCATCCTCCAACGAAAATTATCTTCAACTTCGACAACAGAGAGCTTTGATCCTTGGCTTATCAACCGAACTTTCGGTTCAAATCAACTCTTTTTCAAGAGTTCAAACTCGATCGGAGTTATCAACTCATCAAGAGTTTTAAACTTGCCACGCAAGTTCTCCACAACGTCAAATCGTGAGGAGAAGACATCGTTCCAGTGAAGCAAAACATCGGATCGTCAACGGAGAGCAAACTCGACGCGAGCATTCGAGGGAGGCACTCCATCGCCACCGAGAAGAACCCAGGTCGGCTGAGGATGGAGATGATGATCATTTAAAGGTTAAATATTGTTAAGTAATGTACCAGTTTGTCCTTGGGAGGAGTGTCGGTTAATGCTGAGTAGTAATCCTTCGACATGAAGAGGGTCGACTGAGTCCGCCTCTCGAGTCGTCTTTGAGAGAATGATGCTGACTCGACTGGGGGACTGACAGCTCGCGGGCTTCCAAATTTGCGGGGAGCAGGGGATACCCTATAACAGGGGTTTTTCTATATTGTGATCTATTACTATAGACTTCTTACAGTGAACTATCGTGTAGTCTACTAGAAAATAAAATATCTCGCAATTTTTTATTTTTTATTTTTTTAACTTTCAAATGTAAAAACTGGTGCCTCCGGTAACTCCTCGAGATTTAGCTCTGCTCTGAGTGTTTCCAACTTACTGAGGGCATGTAGACATGTTAAATTAGGAAAATGTCAAACCTTTTATCATCTCGTTTGAGGCCACAAGTTAATGCAGGGCTCTAGCTGCTGGATGTTCGCTCCCAGCTGTGGGCCCATAGACGACTGTCAGCCCAAGTTGTGGGCCCATAGACGACTGACAGCCCAACAGACAACATGGTAGCAGCCCGTTAGCAATTGTTTTATTGTCCAAGAGCAGCTACCCGTCCAGCCCAAATAGACTCGCGGACAGAACAAAATAACGAGTGACACCGACAAATATTGATTGAGGCTATGTTTGGTTTGAGAGAAAGTGGGAGAAAGGAAAGTAAAATAAAAGAGAAAGTGAGTTTCTGGTGTTTGGTATAAAAGAAAACAAAAAAGGAAACGAAAATTATTTTCACTGCAGAAAAACAGAGAGCAAATTTTTCGTTCCCCATTTCTCTCCGCAGCCCTAGTGAAAACGAGGGAGAGCGACGGAAAAAATCCCCCGACGCGATCTCTCCTCGTCGCCAAACTCGAGTCCCCTCTCTCTCTCTCGGAAAAATCCCCCGACGCGATCGCGGCGATCTCGATCTCTCCCCCCAAATTATCATCCTCGGCTCCCGCCTCCCGCTTCCCGCTGTCGAGCCGACGCCGACGACGCGATCGCGGCGATCCCGATCTCTTCCCCCAAATTATCATCCTCGGCTCCCGCCTCCCGCCTCCCGCTGTCGAGCCGACGCCGACGCATCCTCGGCTCCCGCCTCCCGCCTCCCACTGTCGAGCCGACGCCGACGCCGAGATAAGGTACGGTCTGAACAAGACCTTAGAAACCCTAGTTATTGTTTCCAATATACTGTTCGTATAGATTTTGAATCGATTGTTCGCTATGGGAATATTGTGTATACCCAGCGATCTGATGGAAATATGAGATTCTGATCGAGATTTTGAATGGATTGGTATGCTGCGATTTTGGATCCAGGCAATTTAGTCAACAATTGTGAGGGAATAGATCTTAAAATTAGAAACCCTAGTTATTGTTTCCAATATACTGTTCGTATAGATTTTGAATCGATTGTTCGCTATGGGAATATTGTGTATACCCAGCGATCTGATGGAAATATGAGATTCTGATCGAGATTTTGAATGGATTGGTATGCTGCGATTTTGGATCCAGGCAATTTAGTCAACAATTGTGAGGGAATAGATCTTAAAAATTTTCAAAGGTATTACCAAATATTAGAAATCTGACGTATTCAGTTTATTTAGATAATGTATTGTTTACCGCAATACATTGTTGTGTTTCTAGTTGTTATTGAGGGATATGTATTTGAGCAATATATACTAATAAAAATTAATTTACGTTAAAATTTAATTAAGGCAAAAGTTCATGTTCTAATTGACAGTCAGAAAAAAAATATCCTACAAATATTAATAATGAAATTTGGGAACTCATTTAAATGCAGATGAGCATAGAATTTAGTTCACATTGTGATGCACATGATTCATGAAATTTATGTTCCTCTATCATCAGATGCTACACATAAGTGACTAAATTGCCCGCGAAATGGGAATCAGGTCATAGCCAATTAACTGCAGGTTCTTTCTTTCCCCTGTCATCAGATGCTACACATAAGTGACTGAATTTTCAAATGCTTTTTTTCCTTTTTTTGCTTTGTAGTTAATGGAAAAATCGATGATCACTAAATCTGAATTGATGTTTTCGTTTTGTTCACTCGCAATTAGGTTGTCTTTGGTGATATCTTTGATCTTTTCGGAACCGCTCCAGATTCAACTGCAGGTTTCTCTTGGATCTCTCTGTCAACATGAATACAAATTCATCCGAGGTAAATTCTGTTCATATTTTTTTTTGTTGGTTTTGAAGTTTAATTTGTTGGTGATATCTGTTTGAAGATGAGGAATTTGAGAGACCCCAAGGAATAATAAATGAATGTCCCCTTTGAGTGTGTGAAGTAGCTGCCAACAGAATGAAAATGTTAAGAAGAGGAATTTAAACTCTCTGGTCACATTATTAGATTACAAGGTGTAGTTTTTGTGTGTAATTGGATAATGTCGAATTTAAAACTAGAGAGCGGTGTGTATGTGTGTGTGTAATTGGTTATGATTGTGACGTGCTTACTATAGAAAGTGTTTGAATTTGTAGACAAAAGAAGATGATGAATGGGCTATACAAAGGAAAAAGATAAAATATTCAGCAGGGATTGTGGCTGCATATGCAGCATATGCAAGTGCTATTATGGCAACTAATATCTACCAAGTGGAGTATATAGATAGATCAATCTTAGCTCAAAAAGATGAACATAGGAACTTACTTATGGAGCGACTTACTCAACAAAGTGATGGAGATCCCAAAACTTTCACCTAATATGTGTACGTAGGAGGTAGCAAACCAAAACAAGCTCTCGGTTTTTGTATATAGAGTCACTCATCTCATCTCCTTAATTTTGCTTGTAACTGCACTGAACAAATATTCTCTTTTCTATACCTGCATTGATGTATCCTTCTATGGCTATTTGTGCTACAGCTCCAATACAGCCGTGACGGAATATATTGTGTGCAACTAATAATTTTGTGTTTTCTTTATCTATTAATAGGCACATCCTGGAGCAAAACAATTTCGTTACAAACCTGTACCGTGTTTTGAAAACTTGCAAATCATTTATGGGAAAGACAGGGCTGGTGGTTTATCTTCTGAAACTATCAAAGAAAGACGTGCTCGCATAGAAAATGAAAGAGATGAATCAAGTTCTTCGAAGTTCCACTAGAAATTCAGACAAATCATAGATTCTGGCCCTATTTCAAGGTAAAATATAAAAATTTTGTAATAAATATTACATCATGATAATAATAGTCAAGTTGCTAATCACTTTGTTAATCTATTATAGAATTGTATTGGCGCAATTGATGGATCTCATTTTCGAGTGAAAGTGGCAAAAGAAGATACAAGAAGGTATCGAGGCCGAAAAGAATTTCCAACTCAAAATGTGCTTGCCGCTTGCACCTTTGACTTGAAATTCACATATGTTCTAGCTGGTTGGGAAGGGTCCGCTTCAGATTCGCGGGTGTTGAACAATGCATTAATACGACAAGACAAA